TAATGGCATCGTCATTGAGCAAACAGTTCCACAAAGAGCAAAGTTAAAACTGGAGTAATGCAATCGTAAGATAGTTTAATGTGAATTTTCTCACTTTTCCTTGTAAAAGGAGTGGAATTTACTGAATCAAAGCGCCACTTATCCTTTTATCATGGGTTGAATTAAAGCATTCCATTACCCTGAAATTGAGTCGCAATTGATAGTGACCATTTATGATTCTTGTTTATGCTATTTTAGTCCAGCTTTGAGGGTAGAAAAGCCAAAATGACTTGTTAGCAGAGCAGAACAGTTGAAATAGGATTCGAAGGATCAAAGATTCAACTGTTGCACATGGCCTTTAGAAAACAACTCATTTTTTAGACTAGCATCAAGGTAAGGCTCCTGACCTCTACCAACTAACGAGTACATACTCATACTCAAAATAAAAGAAAAAATATAAATTGCTTTATATAGTCATCCTGTAGCACCGATTTTCTGGAATTTATGGCATTTCGTACAGCAATTCTTGGCATCAAATTTAAGCTGTCATTTGCAAAGAGTTGAGCTTAAATGGAAACAAGTAAAGTTCCACAGTAAACTGTTTTTTAACATATAGGCAGAATTTACGTAAAATTTATTTTTTCCCACATTTGTCAACTCGAATGTTTTCAAGGCACCATCAGGCACAAATCACTTACCCGTATACATTTGATCACCCCATACGGTGGTTGGACATAGACAAGCCGCTCTACTAAAGTCGGCCGAACTGATGCAATAGCCTCCATGCTGGCAACTAATGCTTTCAAGTACTTTTGGGGTAGTTATTTCCGTCCCATCTTTCGCTCCTGCCTCCTCTTCCTCCATTGTTACGGTTCCACAGGGATCATTCAAAAGAGCGCAGTTATCGTATGGTAGTTGAGAAGATGGAATCCATCCTGTAGTACAAATGCATTTGTAAAAATCTGTACCCAACACAGGATTGCACAGGTTCCCGTGTGCAACGCCACAATTTGTGTTGCCATTTGGTTCAGTCTAAAACACACGCTTTACCTAAAAGTAATAAGTAGGCACCACAAAGTTAAAAAGTAAGTGGTGAAATACCTCGTTGAACCGCTTAAGACAGGCATTTCTAGGTTGGGCACAGTCCTTCCCCATATATCCCGCTTTGCAGATACATTTTGCATGTTGCATATCCAGCGCCACACAGGTAAGTGTTCCCACTGTGGAGCAGGGGGCGTAAATAGGGACGAAACAGGGATTGATTGCTTTGCATGTCCTTGTATCTTGATCCCACACAAATTCTCTGCGGCAGATGCACTCATAATCGTCCTATGGCAATGAGGTTCCGGTAGATTATTTCTTTTTTACTTTAAATTCCGACAACTTAAAAATTTTGAAAATCGTTGTGCGTTTCTTTATTTGAAGGCACAAAGGGTAAAGACCCATCTATTCACATTCCTTAAACTTGAATAGCGTACTACCGAAAAATGTTTTTATTTTTTTTGTCACCAGTAAATTGGTCTAATGAGAGCACTGTGCGTGGTAAATGAAGGTGACTAAAAGGACAATGTGCAGACAACAGGGCATACAGCAATGGTCTTGGGTCACAACTACGTGTACCCTGTGTATGCCTCCTGTCGGTATTGTAATGCTCTGACCTCAAAGGGTCCAACCACTTTGCAAACATTAGGCATGTCTACACCAGAAATCCACCGGCAGGGCTTAGCCAGACACGGAGAGGGGCAGAATTGGAGGATACTCCTTTTCAGCTGGAGAGCAATGAAGGCGTCCCCGCTGGAATCCATTCGACGGAAGGTCACCCATGACTAAATGTAAGTTAAGTAAATTTTATTATTAATGCTTGTGCAGAAGTTGATACGGGTAAATAATATGCGTTTTTACACCACAAAACAGCGCTGTGGTCGAACCTTCAATTGTGAATTAAAAACCTTTTAGTTTCATCTTGTAGAAATACTGCACATTGAACTCGCAGTTTAAGGGGATGAAATATTTTGTGAATGGCCATGGCAATGCAATGCGTCTCAATAATAAGTCTCTGCGATAATTCCCACCATTTGAGTGCGATGTCACCTAAACGAAATTCGTAAGATGAAAAACTGCTCTCAAACCCTACTTAGCATGCAACTAGATTACTTATTTTTGATGGTGTCCCCGCAGTGACAACCGCGATCACCTGTATTATAATTAACGTCAAAGAGAACATAACACCGGTGTTGTCACACATTGATGACTTTCCTCAATCAATGATTGAAATTCAAATGGTTCTGTAAACCAATAGAATTTCACCATTTTCGTCGAGCGAACGCCTTTCATTGCCATCGCATGAATGAAATTCTTCCTCTATCCTCACAACAAATCAGCCGTACTTGATTGATGACCAACTATAAAATTTGGATTAAGCGTGGAAATAAGAGAGTGTGCCGACATGTGGAAAAAGGACTATATGGGGTGGCAATTACATTCGTGCACATCACTGTCGCCACAGGCACTTTGCTTAAATCATAAATGGCTCTAATAATGGCTAGAGAAGATGGAGTCTAACGATTGTGACGTAAGTAATTCTGCTTAGAAGTTGGTTGAGTAGGTGTAATCACTTTACTCCTAAAAATGTTTGCCTTTTCTAGCAGTATAAACCGCCTGATAGTCGAGTGTAGAGCTCTTGGTGGTAGTATTTTGCAAAGCAGGTATAAGTTGGGAAAGTAGGTGTGAAACAGACTAAAGTGACAAGTTAGGTGGGCGGTGCAAGTAAGTTTAATGTGGAAATTTGGGAGTAGTACCACATTTCGTTTTGAGATTGGCTCAAAGGAAGGGCCATTTAGTGATGCTCGACAGGAGAACGATGCGATTTGGCACTCCAGAATAGCAGCATTGGCTATTCACCAAGTTGAGAGAGGAGTTGAAAGTAGTTACCACAAGGATTTAATTAATTTAATTGCTCTGGTTAGAGATAGGCAAAGCATCCATTCTAACATGCTCAATTACAGCTCAAGAAAATGATACAAAATCATTTCAAAGTTTCGCTTTGATTCGAACAAAAACATAGGATTGCCCATAAGTTCTTATGCTGGAGTCATAGATAGGTATGAAACAGCGATTTGTTTGCGCATGATGTAACGTTTAGCAACAGCTTAGTCGACAGAAAACAGTTGAACCTTTTTGATCACATTTGTTCCTCTTATCATGCAATGGAAAAATCCTCGGTAAATCGATGCACACTTACGAAGAAGATGAAACAGGGATGGGAGAAACGTACGTTTGCGCACCACCAGAAGAGAAAAATGACGGGCATGTTCTCAGTGGGATCCATGAGGGTGAAGATGACGTCTTGCATGGGCTTGGGTGGATCGCGACAGCTGACGTCGCGCACACCCGCAGTGCAGCACGCCCACGTGCCACCTTCGCACATGTAATCAAAGACGCGCCTGCGGAAGGTGTCAAAGGCAGCCTGTGGATCGTGCCAGTTCGCGTCTAATGCCAACCATTCCTTCGCCATGTTCCAGAAGAAGCCTGCAACATGGAGCTGCAGTTCACCGCTTAAATCACGTCTCCTCTTTTTTGGAAATCTGAACTACATTTCACCATACAACTACAAGCATTAGATAAACAGAGAGATGCAACGCGAATCAAACTGTACTAAAATACCACGCTTTAACTCTTAGTCAGGAAGG